GCCGAACGGCGCCGCCAGTGTGCCTACACTCATAGAAAATAATGTGTTCGGATTTTAAAGACATGGCGCAACGCTGTGATTCTCGTCCGGTGTGCGACCGCCTGAAACGCTGTTTTTTTTTCACTTCCGAAAGCGGATGATGTCAGGAAACAGTGGTTGCAATTTACTTTTTAACTCTATTCCTGAGCATTATAACCCCAATTTGCTATTGTGTGCTGCACATTTTACTGAGGACAGCTTCCACATCACAAGTGAGAAGTGCCGGATTCCCAAAAGCTTTTGTTGAAAGATGGAGCAAGGGGCGTGGCAGTACTGAAACACCGTCTAAGGTGTTCGCCAATCACAATGCACTGGGACAGCTAACCAATCACATCACATTTTGTTTTTTGGAAGGCGGACCTTCATCAAAGCCGAAACTAATCGAGCCGTTTGTGCCAGCCTGGGGAGAAAGGTATTTTAATAATGTAAATTATGTGAAAAATAATGCGTTTTTCGAACCACCAAGCATGAGAGCATGTTCTAGTACACCCCCAAAACAAAATCAAGACTTTGTAAAAGAGCATAATAGAACCCCTTTAATCTTTGTTCAAAAGTTATGAAGTTGTGAACTTAACGAGGTCGACCCAAAATTGGTTCAGAGGCTGTATCTCGGCCAAACATTGATCAATCAAAACTAAACTTGGTACGCTTTGGCCCAGTCCCAATTCTATGTTATACCCCTTCCCCTTCCCCTTTTCACTTTTAACTTTTGAACAATTAGTCAGAAAATTATGATATTGGTGTCTATGGATTCCTTGGGTCATGCCGAATCTAAGGATCGGATGAACCACGTGTCCGCCATTTTGAAATTTGTCATAAATTGCTATATCTTTTGAACCATTAGACACTGCACAAAAATCATCAATCGATTGCCATTCGTTTTAATGTGTCTCTTCAGCTATCAGGTTAACTGTAAGGGACATTAGCATTATATAGCTTAGCATACTAATCTGGCTAGAATGCTAAATCAAGCGTTTGTGAGATCATTCTCACACCTAAACTTCTCTTCTGCAGCCTGTTGCATGTGTGTCACCTGAATGACACACTTTGCTAAACTACTGGCCCTGAACCTCTAAGATTGTGTGTTCGAATCCAGGGTGGCACATACCCAAACTGCAAGAGATACTATGCCAAGAAATTATGCCGAAGTTGCTTTTTTTCCCAGATGTTGTGCTTTTCTAAGTATGATCTCGTCTGAGCTTATTAAGTACTACATTTGGTGCATTTATTTATAAAATTTTATTTTTGAGTTGATTGTCACTTGAATTATGGACCTTCAGCATCTGCATGAACCCATGTCTTCTCAGTGGTGTAATGACAGGTGTGACAAGCACCAGACCCAGAGATTGTGGGTTCTAGTCTTGTGTGGTACAACTGTGTGTAATTTTGTGTCACTTGGAGCCAATTGCTGCAGTTGTACCTTCAACAACTCAAGTCTCTATACAATTAAACAAACCACAGTGTATTAGTGCAGTGGCATGCCATATAAATCAAAAGGCAATAGCTTTGAAAATTTTCTACAAATTCAATAGTGTAGCAAGTGTTTAACCATGGGAACTTTGCGATGTTTAAAAGAATCCAAATAAAATCCAACGTCCAAATATGCCAAAATGGCCTAAATGGCCTTGGCCCCGGAATCGCTGCTTGCAGCTTTATTTTGTATGTAAATTTTGTGTTTGGTTTATTACCTGTCGGCAGTGTGCAGCAGACATACCCACCTTAATGAATTCAATAGATCTTTTATCTTGCCCCAAAAGACCATAGATAATATTTAATAAGCCTATGCAAAAAGAGCGTTAAACTGTGTGGAAAAAGCTGCTGCGTCATCAGACACTGAATGATATTTAATGTCAGATGTTTGTAAAGCCATGTAGCCTACACCCATGAAACTTTTATGCTTAAAGCTTTACCTTGATTAAATTGTGTTTTTATCATTCATTTTTAGATGCTGCTACGTTCTTTCTTTTTTTTGCCATGGGATACCATGAAAATGAAATTTAGTTAAATAATTTTACAGTTTTCACCTCTGATATTTTTTACTTTTTGCCGAGATCTCGCAAGAGGTCACGGAAACCTTTCCAATGTCAGTTGAATATTAATATAATAATTAGATATCACATATAATTTGGTAGAAAAACAGTGTTTTTACATTTTATTGGTGCAAAGATGAGTAGTGGTGATTTATTTTGTAAAATTAAAATTATGTCATGTTATAGGGACTACTGCATAGACATTTAGTTGATTTTAAAATGCAAAGTATTTCAAATTTAAATTTAAACACTTGCATTTTTACAACACTATAAGTGTGTCCAATCAGGTAATGCTGGGTTCGACACACACTTGGGGTCTTCATGCTCACTTGAACACTTGGGCCAAATACAGGAAATACGTCATATAAGTAGTCAAGTAGTCAAGTGCAAAGACCACAAGTGTGGGTATTTGGACAAGGCAACTATTAATCTACAACAGGGTTGCCCAACCTGGTCCTGATCAACACACCTGAACCAACTTATTAGGATCTGAAGGAGCACTTGATAATTACAGACAGGTTTGTTTAATCAGGGTTGGAACTGAACTCTGTAGGAAGGTAGATCTCCAGGAACAGGATGCACCCCTGAACTATAACAATACATCTGTTTCACTTTAAAAACTTTTCAGCTACTATAACTTAAGTCTTTGGGAAAAACAGTTATTATACATCTTAAATGGATGCAGACACCACATAACTAATGCCTACATTGTCAAAGATGTACACTAGTCAAAGGGATTTCAAATCAATGGATTTATTAAATACAAAATAGAAAACATTAAATTCAGGTTAATACAGCTGCATATAGCCAAAAATGTAAATACACAAATGTACCAAACAAAAAAAGCAAACAAAGCAATGTAAGATTGTAGGATTTCGTCATGTGAAAGTTGATGTGTGTTAAAGTCTTATCTGTAGTACATCAATGTCCAAACATTGTCCAGCTCTGTAGTCGGCTGATAGCAAATGAATAATCCAAGCTCTTGTAATGAAAACACGCCACAGCTCACAAACACCAGACTCTTCCTAACCAGGAACAATCAAAAATAGTCCAGACTATTTAAATCCATATTCAAACTGGACCAGTATGTGGTGTCCTCACCAATAAAGAGTCCTTCTAAAATGCATACAAATACACTGTCTTAAGATCCTAGCATCAATCCAAACATAGGCCATACATACATGTACCATCTCTGCAATAACATCAGAAATGTACACTTAAAAAAAAAAAAAAAAACCCTGTGTAGACTGGGCTTGAAATTACACAATTTCCAACCAGGACACAGCACAATGTGTTCAGCAGGTGAGCCATGCTGGCTACTGCTGCTTGCTATTGCTACCTCTCTTCTTCTTCTTTGGTGTGTATTGGCTTGTAGCACAAAATAAACCATAAAAACCCATCAAAACAAATAAACAAACTAGAAATTCAAACAAAACAAATAAATAAATAAAAAAACAATCAAAAAGACTATATTCGTTTATATGAGCCGATTTGACCAAATTATGGTGACTAATGGCACTTTTCCACTGCATGGTACG